TAGTTAAAATTATAATTATTTTTTTTTAAGTAATTTTTATAATAAATATCTTTATATATTTATATTTTTATACTGAATTATATAAAAATAAAATTTTAATATTTTTTTTATTAATAATAATTAAAAGATTAAAAAATTATATTTTTTATTTTTTATATTTAATAGTTTTTAAAATATTAATAAAACTTTTCTATAAATTATTTATTTTTTTTATTTTTTTATCAAATAAATTTAAGTATTTATTAATTATATTTTTATTATAATTACTTAACTAAATTTATAATTTTATTAATTTTTTTAATTATATGAAAGATACCTATTCTTATTTTTATATTTTATTTTTTGATTTTTTTAACTTAATTTTTTTAAAGAAAATATTCTTTTTTTAGTAAATTAATTAAATAATAATAACAATAACAAATAAATTATCATTAGAAAATAAATCAGAAATATAATAGTTTTAAATTAGAAAATAATCTGATTTGATAAATTATGAGTTTTTCAGAATAATAACTATAAAGATCCAATAAGATAATATAAAGCAACCAATAAAAATTAAGCTAAAAATATTTTTTGTTTAGAATGAGTCTACAAGATCAAACAAAAACCTAAATTTGAGTGGCTTTATTGTTAATAGGTTTCACGGGTTGAGTTGAAACAAAACATGTTGAAAGGCTGTGTCGCACACATGTGCAAATCATATTCAAAAATGATATGAAATAACTCCGAGATTGGTTTTTATACGAAAAATTACCTGCATAGGATTAAATCTTCGAAATATTTTGTTCAACTCCCGCGAACAAATATAGTTATATAACTCTAAGCTTAAAAAGTCATTTAGTAAACGATAAAATCATAAAACTTTAATTTTCCCATAGATGTATATTTCGATACACATTTATTATTGTTAATCAAATATTTTTTTACTAAGGTGGTTTTAGACTAGTGTTGAACACTTGAAACTTCTTTGTACTTCACTTCCTTCTAAGACTAGGAGGTGTGTTAGGGCATTATAATTCAGTATGGAACGAGATACACTTGCACTATATAACACTTTGGGGGTACGAAAGGCTGCTACTGAGGAAGAAATTAAAAAGGCATACAGACGTCTAGCCTTAAGATATCATCCAGATAAGAATCCTAATGCTGCTGACGAGGTTTGTTTAAAAGATTTTTTGTGTTTTAACATTATTCAAGAAGCAAAAAATAAGTTATGCAAAACCATGGAGTGTTGCACGCGATCTCTCGAAACATTGATTTGGAATAAGAATAGAATAAAATTTATTCGCGTTTAATAAGCTGATGCTTATATTTCTCTGCAAATACATTTTATTATTTTTCAATATTATAGTTTAAGTCAATAAATCATGCATATGAAATTCTCAGCGATCCAAAAAAACGTTCAGTATATGACAAATATGGAGAAATGGGAATCCAGATGTTGGACTCGGTGGCTGGTTTCCTATTCGATCCGGAGGTCGAAGGACTACTATGCATGCTTTTTACTATTCTATCTGGAATGATTTTACTGCTAGTATTATTTCTCTCATTCCTTTCGGTAAGACTGGATAATAAAGTGCAATGGCATTTCGGGGTTGTTTTTATACCGGTTTGGATAGTGGATTTTGTGATATTTATCGTGTTAATAGCGCAAGCGAAAAAGGGACCATTTGACGATGAGGATGCCGAAGAAGAAGAGGAGGATATTGAAGCACTTTACCCTGAAGATCCAGAATTTCGAGAAAGATATAAAGAAATGAGGAGAAAGAGAAATCGAAATTTAAATCGAATTCGAAATTTATTGTCAATCGGATATTTATTGCTGGTTTTCTTGTTTCAACTTTTTATTGTACTTCGAGCTGACGAAACAGTGAAATGGTCGGCAGGCATTGTATTTATACCATATTTTATCGTTGAAGCAACATATCTTTATCATAATATTATTGAATACCTCACCATGTTACGAACATCGAAAGTTTATGATGAAGATGGAAATCCTTCGCTTAAAGCAAAATTAAGGCTTTTCTTGGATAAATTCTGGTGGTTTGGTATACGCATTGTTTTAGCCATTTTAGTAGTGCTGAAAGTTGATGGGACAATTAAAGGCAGCTGGGGGGCGGTATTCATTCCTGTATATTTGGTGGGGATTCGATATGGGTTGGGAATAATTATGGAATATATAGCGGCTCGTAGAACAGAACCATTACAAAGTCGAGCAAAAATGGACGTCATTCTAAAAGCCGTTGGTTTCTTAATAGTGGGGGCATTATTCTATACATTGGTGGGATTATTGGCGGCGAGATTGGATGGACACACAGGCATAAAAATATCTTCGATCTTAATACCGGTATTCATAATATTATCAATATTGTTTTGCTGCACTGGTTGCTGTTTACCTTGTGCACTGGTAAATTGGAATGTTGGTGATGATCTAGAAGGAACCACACAGCTCATCCCAATTTCTCCCAATCGACGAATTACTTATCCTCTCGCAGGACCAAGTGAAAATTCTACTACGATGCCAGCAAGAACAGAGAATCAATATGTCAATCCTCAGGCGTAATTAGAACCAAAAGATGTTGTATAGCATTTTATTTTTTTAAGTCCTCAAAATCCCCCTTTCACACACGTGTAGATATTATCAGTATTATGACAAAAACAATTTCTTTTTAAAATAATAATAATAATAACATTATTAGATCTCAAACAAAATAACTAATATATTTCATATATACCTACTGTATACTTTGTATTATCGTAAACTGCAAAACATCATCTTTTTTATTTCATTGGGCTTTTGGGAGAAAAAGGGGATCAATCATAGATAGTTGTCTGTCAGTCTTGATTGGATTAAAAATTTCCCATTTTTCGAATAAAAAAAAGTGCACGCCTTCTTCCCTTGGTTTTCTAGAATATACTAATTTTAGCCTATGAGAAACTTACCTTGAAGAATTTAACGGAATCAGGAAATCTCCTTTTCATATAATTACCAAAAAATTACGTACATATCATATCACGATCAATAATTTGATAATCTAATTAGATCAATGTCAATGAAAACAAAATCGGATTTTGGGATACAATCAAGCCGTCTGTCTATCAATTTGTGAAGACACTTCAAAAAAAAAAAAAACCTTTTAACTTTCACAGCAGATCTACCTTCCACCACCTAGCTCATTAAAAAATTAATTACAGAAAAAGCTTCGTAACAATTCCCTCAATCTAAATAAATTTTTTTCATTTCTTTTTTGTACCCTTTGGGCACACACCCCATTTCATCACTTAGCACTTTTCCCGCGTTCGGAAAGGTGCACTTCCATCACGGCGCTACAAAAAAAAGTAGTTAAGTTAATTATCTTCCGGGGTCATCAGGTATTTTTTTTTTGCTTTATAAGTTTTAAACATTATTACATATATATATATATATATATATCCATCATGTAAAGAAACGGTTCCGTTACTAAATATTTCCTGTTGCTGCGTATATAAAATCTTCTAGAGGTCACCTCCCTGGCAACCCTGCTCCCTTGGTGTCGCTTGACATTATTACACAAAATCTTAGTAGATAGGCTTTGCCCGTGAAATTACCCGCTGTTGTATGTAAAATAGTATCGTGGGCTATGTTAACTCTTTTGTTGGCTGATCTCGCTTTTTTCATCAATGTCCAGATTTTACGTGGATTCTGCCTTCAACAGCTGATCCTGCCAGAAAATAATTAGTTTGCTCCATATATCGTTCATTGATCCCATATATTACAACATTCGATGAAAGCATCCGTTGAACAAATTTGCAATTATGAAACCAATCAATTCTGTACAAAATTATTTGTCAATAAACTCGCTTTTAATAGTAATTTAACTCGGCAAGAAAAGGCTCTACCGCCCATACACACCTTACCAGTGGAGGATGTATTGAAAAATCAGGTTTTGGCTTTAAACAATAATTCATTACCTATCTCTGAAAACTCGAACGATGCTGAAGTGGAAAATGCGTTTTTTGTCGCCGATCTTGGTGAAATATTGCGTCAGCATATACGTTGGAAAGCAACATTGCCTCGTGTTGAACCTTTTTATGGTAAATGTCTAACTAATTCGTGTATTTATAGTGTTATTGAAATTTATAATATTTCACCTAATTAAAATTCTTAAAAAATATTTAGCGGTTAAATGTAATCCAGATCCTATGGTCCTTCGGCTTTTGGCAGCGCTGGGCACAGGTTTTGATTGTGCTAGTAAATCAGAAATTCAGTCAATTCTAGATCTCGGCGTAGATCCTTCAAGAATTATTTATGCGAATCCCTGCAAACAAGCATCCTTTATTCGTTATGCGGCTGATAAAAATGTCAAGATGATGACATTCGACAATGCAGAAGAATTGCATAAAATTAAACGCTATTTTCCGCAAGCACAACTTGTTCTTCGTATTCTCGCCGATGACTCGAAATCTTTGTGTCAATTGGGGCTCAAATTTGGAGCTTCGTTGGATTCTACTGCTGGTCTTTTGAGAACTGCTCAGGAATTAGGATTGAATATGATTGGTGTTAGGTACATTTATTTTGGTTTACAATTACATCAATGACCTAATTACCTCAATGATCTAATCACATTTACATATTAAACTATTTACAGCTTCCATGTTGGCAGCGGTTGCTTTGATGAAAATGCTTTTGCTGATGCTGTCTATCGTGCAAAATGCGTATTTGATCAAGCTTCCGAACTTGGCTTTAATTTGCAGTTGTTGGACGTTGGTGGCGGATTTTCGCACGAACGCTTCGGTGATGGAATCACTTTTGAAAAGATTGCGGCTGTTCTTGGTCCTGCTATTGACAAATATTTCCCGCCGAATATTCGAGTTATTGCTGAACCTGGTCGTTATTACGCAGCTCCCGCCTTTACTATTGCCACTCATATTATTGCACGCAGAACCGTCCAACGTGACCGTGATGAAACGCAATTTGTAGATATGGAAGGAGTCCTGGATCAAATACATTCGGAAGAAGATCAACATTCATATATGTGTAAGCATTTTCTTCTTTTCATTTATAATTAGTCATCCTTAATAATTAATTGTTTTTTATTAATAATAGATTACATCAATGATGGGATGTATGGAGCATTTAATTGTATTTTATTTGATCATCAAATTGTTCATCCAAAAGTTTTGATGAAAGGTGGCGTGTTCCATTTTGGCATCGACTTGGATGAGCCCAAGTATAAATGCAGCATTTGGGGACCTACTTGTGATTCTATCGACTGTGTTACTAAAAATGGAACTCTCCCTGAACTTTCGCCCGGCGATTGGCTTTATTTCCAAGAAATGGGTGCATACACTATATGCGCTGCTTCTCAATTCAACGGGTTCCGGAAGAGCAATGTAATTTATACCACTACAGAACCATCTGTTCTTAGGACTCTTCAATGAGCTATTCGGTTTTTTGATTTAGATTTTAGCAATAAAATAGAGAATATGGAAGGAAGAATTATGGATAGAATATAGTATTTTTCATTATTATAATATTACATAAAATAATCCCGATTCTTTAGATCAAAATTAACTGTTATAATGTTTGTTAGACATCATTAATTCGTGTAACATTTTTCGCGACCAAAATCAAAAAATTTTTGAAATTAATGTTTGTTGGACATTTAATTCGTGTGACAATTCATTTTAACACCTAAACATGCGGCAACGAAAAGCAAAGTCTCTTGTTCAGTGTACGATATGGCAGACGAGATTCGTAAAACTGAAGCTCGAAAGCAAATAGAAACTATCAAAAGCTTGACTGACTCGATAGTGTCTCAAGGGTTCAATAGCAAATTTTTGAGTCAGAATGCAAAAAAGTATAAGCCAGATTGCGTGTCCTTTGCCAATCGGATGCAAAATATAGGCGAAAAAGGAAAAGAGTTTGTAAAAAACTTAGAGTCTGAAGAACTCGAGGTAGCGATGATTAAATACAAGCTGTCAAGTGCGGTAGAAGCTCTAAAAAATTTTCAAGGTGTTTATTTACACGAATATGCCGAGAGGAATTTAATAATATATAAGATAACAGTTTTAATTTTATTATTTTTAGGGTTAGCATCTAATATTCACATGTTTATCTTGCAACAACAATCGCCAATAAATCTCAATCGCCCGAATCCTGCAGAAGATTTTCGAATTCAACGACTTTTAGTCGATTATCATAGTCGCTTAGACGACTCGATTGAATGCCTCTCAGTGGCTTTTCTTGCAATGCAAATACAGAAACCTTTATCAATTGAAGAACAGGAGGAATTGTTAAGAGGATTAAAAGCTGATGTTGAGAAGGAGTTGACCGTTCTTGAGGAAATCAAAAGTCAACAAACTAATACTAACCGAACGAGATGGCTGGAATTAGCGATAGAGCACAATCATTTGCGATTTATTCCTTATGATCAGATTGTTATTGATAAGTTTTTGAAATGTGGTGGGTATGTAAAGGATAGGCATATTTGTAAATGGCTTTTTCTTTAATTGAAATGTTTATAGAAATTTGTAAAGGTTTATTAAATCGAAGAATCTGTAATTAGATTTGGAATAGTGTATAAAGCATTCTGGGATGACACACCGATCGTTTTAAAACAGCTTTTCAATCAAACCGATTTTATCGAAGAAATTCGCCTTCATAAACGTGTACATGATGGCGATTATATTGTGAAGTTACATGGGATAACCAAAGACACAGATGGCAACTTGGGAATGATTATGAAATATACCGCTCATGGTGATCTTCGTGATTATTTGAAGACACAAGGAAATTCGTTAACATGGCATCAAAAGATTGTCTTGGCTAAGCAGATTGCCATAGGTTTATCGTTTATTCACCGAGAGAAAATTATGCATCGGGTATGTGATTTTATTTAGTATGCCCGTTTTTATATTGGATATACGAAAATCCGGGATTAATGATTTTTTATTATTATTATTATTATTATTATTATTATTATTATTATTATTATTATTATTATTATTATTATTATTATT